GGAAGAGAAAGATGGCAACAAGGTGCTTTGCAATCATTGCAAAGTGTCAATTACATCCACGGGAGGAAATCCATCCAACATGCAGAAAGACCTGCGCACACAACATGGCATACATTTTAACGAATGCCGTGTTTTTGATGCTTAAGAAGCTAAAGTTACGACCAGTATGGAAGGCAACTCTGGTGGTAAGTAGCTAGTTTTATATCACTGGCTGTGCTTAATGTGGTTCCTAATACATTGTATGGCATTTCTGGAAATAAATCAATTTCTTACCTCTCTTTGGGGTTATTAAGGGAGTGTGCCTTTCTCTTGAATCCAGCCCTCCATTGCTAGCATGTTTAATTAGAACTACTGGTAGCTGGGATTCTTACATGATTCTAGCTATTGCAATGGATGTAATGAAACATGCTACAAAGTTTCTGCGCAGTTCACGGAGCGAGAGAAAGGTGACGCTCGTTTATTTAAATCAGGGGGAGATGAGTGTCACCGAGCACTTACCAAATTCTGTGTTTCACAGAATCCATGAGAGAATCGATAAGGAATTTAATCGTTTTACAGAATCAATAAAGGAATCGTGACAGTCTTATCAATTCCGAACCCTAATTTGCCGAGTCGTCTGGCCCGGGTCGTCCTTGGTCAGAGAGTTGTACCGACTGCAACTAAAAACTGATTGTATAAACTGTTTTTTGGCCAGTGGAAAAGACGTCTTAGTCAAGAATTTCAATACTGTTGCTGAAAATGGCAATAACAATACTATGATGATTTTTCCACTCTTTTTCCAACAGTTTCAGAGATCTTTTACCCCTTTCTGTAATTGCTAGTTTCTCAGCTGCTAAAAGTATACTTCAGCTTTATGCATAAGGGTCCATCCAGCTGGACAAAAATATTTTGGATTTACAGAGCATTTCTGTATGATTGTATTGTATCCCACACTGATCTTGCAATAAGCACTATGGGAGAAACCCTACAGCTTTACTACCAGCACAGGTACTTAGACTTGGCCAATAGTTCTTCTTTCTGGAATCAGAGTCTTTAACACAAAGCCAAACAATAGTGGAGGCAGCCTTTCATATAGATAAAGGGAAATTTACATTGTGGCTGCTTTTTATGCAGATACATACCCCTTCTGGAAACTGTGACGGAAACCTTCCTCTAGCCTAAAGCAGTATGTTCCTGTAAAGATTAAATTTAACCCCATAACCAAATGATTACATCATGCAAATGTTTAAAATCCTGCTGTAGAGGAGCATTAACCAAACTTAAACAGCCATGTGCAGGGTGAGTTCCAGGCATGCTTTGCTAGATCTTTATCACATGCTTTTAAAGCCCACAGCTGTGCTGGGTGGACCGTCACACACAGATTGACGCTGCTCGCCTTTTAAATGAGCTTCGTCTCTCCACAGGCTTTTTGCTAGCAGAAAAAGGCAGATGTCTTAGCCTGGCCTGAGGCTGAGCCCTCCTTGTCTGGGGCCTTCCTTACAACCACCTTCTGTAGCAGACTAGGCCTCCAGCCCAAGTCATGATTCAGCACATGTACACGTGTGAACTTAAAAAAAATAAAACTCTTGAGTGATCTCAGGCGAATAAAACCTTGGATCACAGAAGGAGGTCACACAGGGGCAATGGTGGCGGATGTGATGGTGCTCCTTTTCCAACAACAAAGGGGTTGTATCAGCAAACAAGCATGGGGGAGGAGGAACGAAATGCAAGAGTGCGGGAATGACCAAAAGGTTGTCTTGAGTAGCAAGGAAAGATAGACGAACAGAAGAAAAGTCTACCATTTTAAGGTGGATGAGGGAGAAATGTAGGTGTTTCAGCCACCGCAGAGACCACCCAACTTCTGACTCCTCAGCTCACGCTCCCCTAACCGCCTCACTTCTTCCACTGGAACCAACACTCAAAGGAAACCAGCTTGTATGCGTAGCTTGTAAATGTTTAACCATCAATCAACATCATAAAACCTGGTCTGGATTCTGGCTGGATGCTGTTCCTCCCTGTATAGTTCCTTACAGCAGCTCTCCTCTTATACTCATCTCCCCACCAACCCCCAACCCCTTTTTATTCCCTCGGCTCCTCCGCTGTGTTGGATGCTGGGCATATGCCACAATGCCACTCCCTATTCCTTCTTTTCCAATCTGCCCTCAGCTCGGTGACAGCCATCAATCAGCAGCTGCACCATGGCGACCGAGCCCTCAGGGAGCGTTCGGCAGACCCTGAGTGAATATGCCCAGGCTTTACGAGCACTGCTGGCTAACAGAAAGACGCTCACCTCCCCCACTCCAAGACAAAGGCAAGGGTCCAAGGACTAGTACTGTCCACACACACAGACACACAAACTCATACTCGACTGACCTCTAATAATCATAAAGAGACAGCATAGAGCAGAGGCCAACCACAAGATGTGAGAAAGATCTCAGGCTACAGGAACTCTCTAAGCTCCACTCCTCAGCAGCACACCGTTTTACCGCTCCTTCATTTGCCTAATGTTTTCCAGGAGAAGAAAATAGTCTCGGTCAAAGCAAAGGAAGCAAGCTAAAGGTTTGCACCAGGGGTGGGCAATTATTCTTCCCAAAAGGCCACATAAGCAATTGTGACTGCTGCCGAGGGCTAGAGTATTGGCCGAACACAATATTTCCATGATTTAAAAGCACTAAAAATAAACCTACAACCTAACAAAAAAAATAAATAGAATAGTCATCTATTGTGACAACATTGCAACTAAACAAATTGTTACCCTCAGTTCTGACAAGTGAATCATTACCATTTAGATTTTTTTTTTCTAAAAGCACCTGTCTTCAAGTTGTAAATGCTGGGAATAAACCTCACCGTTCTCTCCAGAGATACATTTTTCTGCAAATTTTCTTGTCTTTACTGCTCCTTTCTCAACCAGTTTCTTCAGTATAAACTGACATTGTGACTTGTAACTAGCTGTTCATCATCGATTACCCTGCTTAAAACGAGGCAATGCTAAAAGACAGCACATTCTTTTTTAATATTCCAACAATAACAAAAAGATAATCCTTCAAAATAAAAGCAGTATTTTCATAAAGACTGCATAGATATCGGTAATAAAAGGTAAATAAAATAAAAACCACTCATGTCGTGTTTTAACTTTAAAATTGAAAGATTACCCATATTTTATCAAGAAAGAAAATAGACACATTTTAACATATAAACATTGACATGAGGTTTTGTACAGATGCAGTAATCTAACCAGACGCTATCAAAACCAGACAGTTTCTCTTTAACAGGCTCTGAGGAGTAAACAGCAGGGAAGAAGCTAAGAGAATGTGATTTATTCCCCCTTGTTGATTAAATGCATTAAACAGAAAGCTCTCACTCTTTTGAGCCCATTAACTCTAAACAGAAGCTTTAATTGCAATATTTTTATGTTTAACAATATTTAAAAAAACAGCTAAATATAATAGGGGGATAATAGGAGATACACGTTTAACTGGATTAGACAGTTCTACCTCTAACAAATAATCTTCAGCATGTAAAAAGTATTTAGTTTAGCAGTGTGCCATTTTAAGCATGCTTACTCATGCACTTTAAATATCAACTACTGAAGGCTTGGCAGAGAAACTACAACATTTAATGGTTCTAATCTTGTGTTGGGACGTTGCAATTTAAATGTGATGCAGACATGTTAACAAAAAAAATAAAAAATAACAAGCCAGTGGATAAATGTAATCTGAACAGAGTTGAAACCAACTCTTGAATCCTTATGTTCTTTCTAAAATCATTTTGACAAATTATCTAATTTTACTTATTAGATCATACTTTTTAATTTGTCTAGGAGGAAACAAATATGTGACAGAGGTTCAGTTTCTTTAATCTGCACAACACTCTTTTTAGATGACCCTTTATTTAGTAGGTTTAAAGCAGGAAATACAGCAGCAAATAAAGGCACCTGCCCTTGAATCTCCAAAATAGCATAATTATCAACATGCACCCCCCTGCCCATCTATGCAAATATGATCATGTTGCAATGTACAACCAAATTAGGTGCAAGTTGTGAGTGACTTCTCATAAAAGGAGCACATAGATCTGCAACTACCACTCTTTCAGATCCATTAGAATCATGACTCTGCAAGCACTATGTTACAACATGTACTTGAGATGACAGACTAACAGGCAGCCAAAGACAGTTATTAAAACAAAAATGAAGCCGTGTGCAGAAATATTCTAATATTGTGTCTAAACCATTTCCCTCCCTCCACAGCGGAGATGGGGATTATTGGGGAGAACACTCGACAGGTCTGACTCAGGAAATGCTGACATCAGCTTCATTTTCCCAGAAGCCTGGGATACTCATGGTTTGCCCACCGGCAGATTTAAAAATCAGTCCAAGCTACTTTAGTTTATTAAGCACACAGTGCAGAACACAATATAACAATCATCTACAATAATATGTAAACGTATCTAAAACTGATCAGCATGAAGGAAAGATTTTTAATCCTGCACCTGACCAGTACTGCCCACAAGTGACTGGTTATCCTATACCGCAGCTGTATCACGGTCATGATCCCATGTTGTTTTAGGATCACAAGAAATAGAAAAGCTGCACGTTTAAATTATATTATACTAGAAAAATAAGTGATGGAGGAATCAGGCTTTTCCCAGATAATCCACATCTCTAGTTTTTAATTTTAATTTTTGGTGGACTATAACAATAAAATAAAATATAATAAGCAGGTTATTTTAATAGGGGCAATTGCTTTGAATCCAACAGAAAAGGGTTTTCCCAACGGAGGCACCAAAACCTTATGTGCTTATAGTGAAACTAAAGAAAAAATATTTTGAATGATGCATTTATAATTAAAACAGTAAATCTAATACATAACAAATATTGGGGGAAAAATTGATGTACAGATTTTTATACATAAATCAACCAATTTGTTAAAAAAAAAAGAGCTCAATTTCAGTCAAATTGATTGATAAACATATAAAAGAAGGGAATATCTCTTCAGAAAGAGCTACATGTGATCACTACTCACATAGTCGTGGAAGGCCTTTGCTTCACTGGAGTGGTCACATGTCTCTCTCCTCTCTGGTGCAGCACAATACAGGTCCCAGAAAACACTGTAGAAAAGAGAGGGGGGGTCATGAAGCAACAGAAACTACATGAATAAGCTTTGGTCATTGTATTACATTATGATGAAATTAGACTCACCACCACCAGGAATGTAGGAATCCAGGGGGCTCTCCAAGGGTTATATTTTTCTCCCATCGGATCTATGACAGACAGAATTTCATATAGTTAAATTATTATCAAGTAAAAGTATATTTTAAAGTGTTTTAACCTAAAAAAAAATAATAAATTCCACATACCTCTGATAAAAAGGTCTGTGCAGACTTCTGCGCTCCTATGTGTAACAAATATTCATAGACATATAGAGCCAACCTGTATGGGGAAGGAAATGAAAAGTGAAAATAATTTGTGACTTAGTTTTATAACCATATGTATATAAAACCATAAAGCTATAAGGTGATTTCTTCCTGTAAAATGAAGAGTGGGTGAGCAAAGTCGCCTCCAGGCCCTGTGAACAATGGCTGCCAAATAGCTCAAGCCAAAAATTAAATGGGGACTGGAAAACTAGCCAAGCCTGTTGTAGGTTAGCATTTCATGTTACGTAGCTGGTAGATAAACTATATCTTTAACAGCTTCAAATGCTGTGTTGTAGCTGGTGTGTTGGTGGCACTGATGGGGGGGCTGAGGGGAATGAAAGCGAAGCCTATAGAGAAAACAATGCACTGTAGCGCCGCGATGTTATTGTTTCTCCTTCACCGTTTCAGACAAGCCCGAAAACGTTTTAGAGCTTAGCTTAAAACATAACCAGAGCGCGCTTTGTACGCGGAACAAGAAGAGCGAAAAAAAAAAAAAAAAGCTAAAGATATAAGAAACGCAGTTCGGAGGAGGAATGGCGAGCAGACAAGGCGGTTCATTCAATTCCTTTCTCGGTAGGAGGAAATCGCCTCTTGCTAGCCTGTATCCAGCAAACAACACAAAGCAACTTAAGAGGCGGACATAAAAGACGGAATAAATGAACGTTTCTCGGCTTACTTTTCTCGCGCTTGGCTGTCCGATGGCACCGGGGTGCCTTTGCCTTTAGGGAACATTGTTTTGTGTGGGAGGACGCCCGCCTTCTCTTTCTTTTTTTCGCTATTTCATCTGTCAGACCATCGCGGCCGCCAACCGCACTCCTCCTCGATCCAACGACTCAACCGAGCCTTGTCTGGAGGAAGGGGAGGAGCTACGGTGAGCAGCAGGACCGGCAGTCAATGAGAAACCAGCAATCATATTAAGACCCGCCCTCTTTTGCACGTCCACATTGCTTCAATATGAATGAGCAATATTTAAGGAACAAATGTACTTTTCCCTAGTTAATAGCTCCATCATTCACTGCAAGCTGACTATTCTATTTTTTTGCTCAATTTTTGAATAATTATTTACCATAATTAGATGGGGTTTTTTTTTTTAAATGTGTCTTGTTACATATATAAACATTGAGCAGGAGGTAATTTAAATATAATTTACAAAACAATTGGAGATTTCATAAAATAGAGAACCAAACATAACAATCAAATGATTTTCCTTTCTATTTTTTACTGGCTTCAAATAAGATAATCTATTATATTGATTATCAATGTTATAACATCTGCTATCTGATCTACTGATAGTCAAAATTATTTATATACAGCCTAATCTAATGAATGCAAGCACAAAATAAAGGAACATTTTTTTTCCTACAAGGGGTGCACAGCAACATGTGGGGGAGGGGCAGACCTCTGTTGCTCAGTGACCCACACAGCCCCCCCCAAAAACACATACTTAAAGTACATTTATTCCTTTACCCTTTCAAATACAAAAGAAATAGGCTCAGTAAAACTACAGAAAAGGACAATTTTAACATCACTATCACAGAGACAACTAAGAACACAGCCATGCAGAGAAAAATAGTTTTCAATATTCAAAAATAAATTTATTTTCTGTGGGATGTGATCGCTTTCTTTCATCTGCTTCTGGTCATTAAAGCAGAATGAAAATTACCTTCTGATGCTTTATCTCCAAGGCTAAATATGGAAGAAAACGTATGGTTTATGATAGTTGCAGGAGTGTGAGGGTATAGTATTAGGTGTTAAACATCTGCACCTTTAAGCTAGAGTTGCTCATTTAAAAAAAATTAAATCTGACTTATTACTAAAAAAAAAAAAAAAAAAAAAAAAAAAAAACATTGTGTGTTTAGTTACTGCACCAAAAGGACAGATCTGTTATTATTTGTTGCAAAAAACACAACACCAGACATTTAACTGAGTCCAGACAAGGATGGTTAAATGTTTTCACACTAACCCGACTGGTGCCTTTATCTCCAAAACACTTCCAACCAGTGTTTGAAGGTGACGCAACACAGTGGGAAGTGGTGCCTTGTCTTGTTTAGTTGCATGCTGCCAGCGCATTTAAAATGCAGATATGTTGTCTGTGCTGTTTCCTATGCAGGGTGATTTGCATATTGAATCACAGCTGCAACTGTGTTTTTTACTCTCAAAGATTGAACTAAAGGTAAAATTGTATTTAAAGTGTCATATGAATAACTATAGTGGTAGTTTTACATTAATTATTATTATGGCCATTCATGTAAGAAGGGGCGGAGCTAGATGGGGGGTCAAAGGTGGCCATGGTCACCCTTAGCCAATCATTGGCCACCCCTGTGGCCACCCCTACCATTTTTTTTGCTCTCTAATACAGATGGTGGCAGCAGTAATACTATCAAGAAGAATGTTCAAACTTATTAAACATTTTAATTTTTCATATATTAATAGTTATTTGACAGCCAAAACGCTATGGTTAATTATGCACATCAAAATACTAACATTATAGTTGATAAATACAGAATTAATGCTCTTTTAATCAGAATCAAACAGACATACTTTTATTTAGACATAGCCTACTTTAATATTTTAAAACCCTAATTTTGTGTTATATTTGGTAAAGAGAAAATTATGTGTCTCTACAAGTTATCAAGGAGTTTTCAGTTAAATCATAGATAAATAACTACTTTATTAATAATAAAAAAATCAATTTAATGTAGATATTATTACATGTAATATTAATGTAATGCAGTATATTTTTTGATAAAAGAAGGTAAGTAATGACAATGGAAAATATTTTGTCCACTATACCTTTTATTTAGACAGCATGGATGTTTAAATATATGCATCTATTTTTAATCAAAAGGCTATAGGAAAGTATAGTTTGTCTTTCTTAAGAAGATATGTATGTTGTGCTCGTTCCAGTTTATATTGACCCTAAGGTTCTGGTCCCCATCCGCTTTGGCCACCGCTCAGTTTACATTGGTCATTGACTGGCTACCCCTATTTAAAAAATTCTGGCTACGCCTCTGCATGTAAGGTGTTTTAAAAGAGAGACTCCTTAGTTCCACCTTAAAAAAAAAGTGCAGAAAGCATTCAGGGGGTGGTGTCCCTGCCTCCCCCTCCCCTCTAAACTTCTTCATTAAACCAGAGCGGCTTGTTTGCGTCTTCTGTCGCTCTGTTTGTGCGGATTGAGCGCCTGCTTATAGAAACATGCTTCGGTTTGATCTCCTCTAAGGAAACGTCTGTTGGCTGTCATTGGACTTCAGCGGGTTTTTTTTTTTTTATTGAGTAAGCCATTTCTTTGTTTTTCTCTTAAAAGGTCCAATCTGATGCGTTATATTGCGAGTATAAAACCTAAGAAGCGCCTTAAGAAGTTTGTTGTTAATGTTTTTTTGACTTGGGAATGAATGCCAAAAATGCTGTGACAGGTGACTGTGTGTCGCTCTGTCCAGCAGTACAAGACCGCTTTTATCTGCATGTCCTTAAATAGTTTGTCTGCTGCACTAAACGGGACGTGCCCCTGCTTGTAATAATAATAATAATAATAATAATAATAATAAAACAAGTCTGTGAGTATATAGCTACATCTTGAAAACAACTGTAATTACATAACATTTCAAGGCTCAGATCAGATTGGACGCATTTGGTGAAGTTTATGTGCAGATTATCTGTAGATTATTGAAAGTCCTGAGTTGGTTGGAGAATGTGGGGATCTCAGATGTAGCAGAACAACTACTTGTATTTTTTCTTTTTTTATTAGGCTACAAAAGCTGTACTTTCTATTATATTATACTAACTTGCTTTTGTAATGTATACCACCATCATACAAGGGAGTAACAAGTATTCATGTATTGCTTTAAGTTTTTCACATTTTATAACATTGCATCCCCAAATATGTGTACTTTATGGATATGCTGGTGAAGGTTCTCAGTGATCTGGGTCATAGTCATTCCAAAAAAGAAAAACTAAAAACAATCCACTGGACTTTGTTTCCAAGTTTTAAGACTCAGAGAGAGTCCAGTGGATTGTTTTTAGTTTCCTTTTTTTGGAATTCTTAATGGATATGAAAAAGCATTGTATATATTTATATTCTGTCCACTTGAGTTAACATGTAGAGCTACCTTTCTCAATTCAGTTAGGTTTGTTTATGTAGCACCAACTGACAACACAAATCACTTTACAGAGACGATTCAATCAGATCTTACAGTCAAATTTGTTCAAAATTTTCTTTCTCAAGAAAACCAGCTGCTCTCCCCCAATGAAGTAAAACATCAACACAGCATAATAGTGGCACCACCATGTTTGATGTGTCCATGCATCGTGCATGACAGGTAGATAGTGTGGATTTCTCCTTGTCAGTCTTTTGTAAAGGCAGGATTTGAGGAAGTCGCACCTAAGCTGAGGATCCCTGTAGCTCCTCCAGAGTAACCAGGTTTACTGTGAGAATACCTGAGATTAGATAATAAAAAATTGGGTGACTTATAAAGGCAGTTGTTTGCACTATATTTTTTTTTAAAGGGTTTTAAAGTAAAAGGGGCAACTACACCTCTGTATGTTTCCTTAGGCTTCACAATTAGTGGGGAATCACATACAATCCAAGAATCCATCATAATCTTTGTTTCTTCATTAAAAATGTTAAAAGATTCAGATGATTTAAATATACATTGTAAGTGAATTCAATCAGGTGGACAGTGCTATGTTTCTCTATGTTTTTGTGTAGTAATGACATCAGAGGAGGAAGATGCAGACATTATGCTGGAACCCCAGTTTATCCAAGAGAGTGGGGAAGTGTACAGAAACCCCACTGAGGTGCAGATGAGCCAGATTGTGCTGCCCTGCCATGCCAATCACTGCGGGGAGCTGAGTGTTGGACAGCTGCTGAAGTGGATGGACTCCACAGCCTGTTTATCAGGTAGGAAGGAAGATTACAAAACCTCTTACATAGTACAATTTAAATACTAAAAATCTTGAACACCACAAAGAATATCACAACAATCACATTAACCTCTTCCCTTTCATGTAATATAATGTGCAGTCAGGGTCAGACATGATCAAATCAATAATTATATTATATGTTGAATATTGGATATAGATAAGTTTTAATCTTAGTAAAGTCCAGTATGCTACATTTACATGTTCAAACCATCAGATATGTTTTTTTCCCACAATCGTATAAATATATTAAATTAAATTAAATCTACTATATAAAATCTATAAAATCTAAATCTACTATGTCACAGTATAGAGGGACCATAAGTTGAATCAGGCTAAGATGCCAATACATGAGGGAGACAGATATAAACATCACAAATTTTTCTCATGTGTTGAATGAAACACTTTCAATTCACAAAGAAATTTCATTTACAGATGGAGCCCTTATAGCATATGAGTTTAGTCTATAGCTTTGATAACATTTAGAATTCGGCTCCTCCCTGAAAATTGTGATTTGTTGTGACTTGTTCAGCTGCAGTGTTGGCGAATCTAATATCCAGGCTAATAACTCTGATCTTTGAATATTCTCCAAACTTTCCTCTGACCTTTTTCAGTGACGTCCCCCTGCTGTACCAAAGCTGCCATTGTTCCACAGTTTTGTAACTGTGCAACCTTACATTTCTATGGAGATGTTTGCATTTCTAAACCTTGTTCAGCATAACACCTGACTTGTCTGGAAGAATCTGCTAATCCACGAGCATTGATGAAAAAAATTAACCTCTGAAAATTCACATGCATTCACATGCGTTTTCTGCTCCTCAGTGCACATACTGATGTGCATTTTTACCTACATGTGAAAAACAGAGGAAAATATAAGGTGTATATCCAACTTGGATTGAGTCCATTACTTTGGAGGCATGTTACATTATATTATGTGTGTTTCAGTTTTTTTAGTTCATTCAACTATAAACCATAAAAGTTCAAACTCTAGTAAAACATGTTTTACTTCTGGGCCATTTTCAGATTTAGATGAATGCGTAAAGTGAATAAAAACTCTTCTGAACTTTGTTTTAATCCTTTCCCAGCTGAAAGACATGCAGGATGTTCCTGTGTCACTGCTTCTGTTGATGACATCCACTTTGAACACACCATAGGGTAAGATATTATCAACCGTAAAACCAATGTTTTCTATTTTTAATAAATCATGTTCAATGATTAAGCTTCTTCAAAAAATACCATAATATGCTTCATCCTGTGCTTAAATTTTTGCAATTACAATTTTTTTTTTATTTATAGGCAGTGATTTACTTGTTGGCTAGATATTACATCTAGGGGTAGAGAGGGCTCATCTGTGTTGAGTAGAATCATGTTGATAGTACAGAATGTCCATGTCTGTCTCCTCCAGAATTGGGCAGGTTGTCAATATCATTGCAAAGGTCAACAGAGCCTTCACATCTAGCATGGAGGTGGGTGGATGTCCCCCCTGAGGGTTTGGTTTGGTTAATAATACCTGAGGTGTATAAGCATAATTCTACATAAAAAGGTATTAAATGTGCTTAAATTTAAGGTGGGGATACTGGTGACTTGTGAGGACCTCTACACTGACAGACAGTGGAAAGTTTGCCATGCCTTTGCCACCTTTGTTTCCAGACGAACTGAAGCTGGAAAGGTAATGGAGCAAGGGTGGAAATAATCTAGTGCAAACCAAACATTTTGCTAAAGCAAATTTAGCTGATTTGATTTTCCTTTTTGTTTTCTGTGTAAAGGTACAGCTCAAGCAGGTGATTCCTCGTACACAAATGGAGCAGATGGAGTACAGCCTGGCAGCAGAGCGGCGGAGGATGCGGCTCATCCACGCTGAGATTATCACAGACCTGCTGAGCAGCAGCACCGCTCAGCTGGGTACAAACAAAAGGTTTGAGAACACACGGCACTCTGAAGGCAGGAGGATTACGTCTTCCTTTTTGCCTTTTCATCAGGAGAATATCAGGAGTATGACGATGCTGTGCCAGCTGAGAAGACACGAGTGGAGAGTGTGGAGCTGGTGCTTCCACCCCATGCCAACCATCAGGTCAGCACTTTTGGAGGCCAGATCATGGCCTGGATGGAGAATGTAGCAACAATAGCAGCAAGGTATGCATTTCTTTCTCTGCTAGCACTTCACTTATAGAATGACTTGTAATGATATCCGTACCCTTTGAACTTTTTCAAATTCCACATGCTTTTGGAAATTACTTACTTTGCAGCGCACATTTACATTTTAATATCTCTTCTGTAAGAACCTTGGAGGTTTGTGAGAAAAGACTATGGAGAGCATGAGTTTCATGCCAAATTCATGCCAAACTTTCCAGAAGTGTACTTTTTTTTTTTAAGTAACACGTTCATTACCTGCTTGAGCTGTACCATTATACAGAAAACAAAAAGGGAAATCAAATGAAGCTAAATTTGCTTTAACAAAGTATTGGGTTTGCATACACCCCAGACATTCCTGAAAAAATGTGGTACGCTTAAAAAAAGTTTAGCCTATGCATCATCCATTATTCAAAAATTTCTATCAACATGTGACTTCATTTTGAAAAAAAACTCCAAAAGACGCTTTCTGATGATCAGCCAGGAGGATTAATCATTATTAATAAATAGCTGCTTGAAATCCAGCATGAAAAAAGACATAACTTAAGCAACTTGCCTTCCCAGAATTATTGCTTTCTTGTTTAATTTACCCTTTCTTTAATCCATGCTAAGAGAACCTACTTTAGAACTCATTTGGATGAATCAGATCTCATAATTTAAATAAGTATAACAAGCAATCTTCGTCTTTAGACAACACAAGCCCAATCCATGATGGTACTGCTATCGTGCCTTACAGATGAAGAAATCTCTACATGCTTACAGTGTTTTCTCACCTTGTGTACAAAATCTAATGTTTTTTTGTTTTTAGTTTTTCAAAAAAGCTCCTTGCTTGTTCCGATAATCATTAGAAAAACCTAAAAAACAAAAAAAAATTGAAGCACTGAAAATAATTTTATTACACAATGCATATTGGTCTTGGTTGTCACTGAGATCCATTGTGTCAAATTTATGTAATTCAGTGTTTCAGAGGCCATATATATTACATCCCTGTTTTTAATTGAATAAATCACAAATAACCATTATTGCTTTTAGCTACATGAAGATCACAGAGCTTACAGATTTCCAAGTTAAACTCTCATCAAACCAGTAAATAAGTGTTTCCCCTCAAGATGAAATGTTCAGTATTTTACAAGTGGCTGATATGCATGTTTTCCTTTTCCATGTTCTTATTCAGTCGATTGTGTAATGCCCATCCTACCCTGAGGACCATAGACATGTTCCATTTTCGGGGACCGTCTCACATTGGAGACCGACTCGTGCTGAAAGCTATTGTTAACAACGCCTTTAAACATAGGTGGGTCACATTATCTAAGAGATCTCGTAAAGCAAAGCCTGATTAGAATTCTTGTTATAAGTACTTTCCTGCAAAAAGAAAAATTGCTCTGCATCTGATTTAATTCTTCAAATATGTGTGTGTGCAATTGGTGTGTGTTTGAATGTCTGAAAAAAAAAAAGTCTTTTTGCTACACATCCTGTGTTGTAGCATGGAGGTGGGAGTTTGTGCTGAGGCCTATCAGGGTGGAGAACCTCTGCGGCATATCAACAGTGCTTTTATGACCTTTGAGGTGCTGGACAGAGATAGGAAGCCTTGCACGCTGCCACACCTACGCCCTGAGCCTGTGGTAGGTTTTCAGAGGTGTATTTATGACTTATAAAGACCTTATTCTGCTACTTTATCAAAAATTCACTGGTGGGAATAGTTTTTGTCTGCATTTATTGAAGTTTTTCTTTGTTTTTAAGGATGGAAAAAGACGTTTTAAAGAAGCTATTGCAAGAAAGAAGATCCGTCTTGACAGGTATATTACATTTATTGTGCCTTTCAAAGTATTTATACTCCTTTACACAATTTTGAATTAGTATTGGTACAACACCAAACCCCTAGCCTCGTGAGACCATCCTGATCTAGCGAGCTTTCAAGGTTTCACTCGCAGATCAGTCTGGAGACTCTGCGTTAAAGAAAATTTGGAGCCTTTCACCAAACGAACGTCCAATCAGCGTTGGCTTTGAGGCGGGTTGAGGTGTGACGCAACGAGAAGCGCGACAGTTCAGTCTAAAGAACATGCCGGCTTCAGCCGATGAAACTAGCGTTAGCGTGGCTATCGAGCAAGTTTCATCGGAATTACAGAGTATTTCTTCACTGAAAGAAGAGCAAAACACTGCTCTGGAGGCTTTTCTCAGAGGAAAATATGTTTTTGCTCTTCTCACGACTGGTTTCGGCAAGAGTTTGCTCTATCAATTGGCTCCTCTTCGTTGTCACTCTGTTAGTACATCATATGCTTCATTGATCTGATTGGTTTATTTGGTCCGTCTAGCACCAACATAGGCCAATCAGCTAACCAGTATTTTCGCCCCTTCCCAAAATTACTTCAACGGAAGGTTTCCAGATGGATATGCGGAGCAAATCCATCTGGCGGAGTCAGGTTACCAAACCCCTTCACTACGTATTTAGTGTTTCTGGATGGGCCAATATTTAAAAAAAATAAAACATTTAAAAGTAAGGTGGACATTTTAGTCACCTTCTATTTTAATATTGGGGCTGGAAAGTTGATAGAATTTACAATACAACAATAATTTAACAAAATACAAATTTTAAAGTGTAGAGGCACTCGGTATTGGTCACATTATATTTAGCAAGAGTACGACTAAATTTCTCAGTCAATTCTTCATGTTGCAGTAATGATGATGAAATCATTTAGTTAATGCTCCTTTTTTTCAGGACAATAATGAAAATGACTAAAACAGGACTAGTCATAGGTTTGAATTTTGGTCAACAAGACGAGAATAAATCAAAATTAGCGGGTCGTTGGTCAGACGTTTAAAATGCATCATAGTGCTGTAATCTACTAAGCAGTATCAGCTGCTGCGTCTGGTTTGATCCTGATTCCCACCTGCGTGCAGCGCTGCACATTCTGCATGACCACACATGGACCATGGCAGCAGCGGCATTGTCTTAGAAAATAACCCTGAATTGTCCTGTACTGCACGCTCAACTCTGACAAACTCTGCTCTTCTAGCTGTGCTTGTGCAGAAATGCGTCTCTGCACGCTCGTAACTCCAAATTTGCACTTCGCCATCCACTCTGATGGTTCGCTCTCAGCAGTATGGCTCTTCCTGATCTCGCTACGTAATAAACTAAATTGGGCTGATCATCCTCTGCCAAAAGTAAAAATCCCCTTACTATCAATATTTTATTTCTTCTAGCTCACAATAAGTGACCTTCTTTAATTTCTACCAAAAGGAATCCCTAAATTATATACAATTAAAATATTTCATTGCATACTGTTTATTTTTTGATAAAGAGCCAGGTGAAAAAGTAGATAGATCTTTGAATATTTATCTTTCATTGTTATTGTTTCTATCAGTTAAAAAGTTATGTAAAGGTTTCCTTGTATTGTCATTAAAACATCTTCTCTAATTCTTTTGAATATCTCAACATTTTAGCTAGCAAATTCTTCAATTTAGGTCTGGATTGCAATGCCATTACAAGGAAATTATGTAGGTTCTCTCTGTATTTTTTTTGTATCTAAAACCCTTTGAATTTAAATCTACTTTGACCCCTGAACAGTAGTAACAAAGGGGGGAATTCTTATAAATAAAGCCAAAATTGGCAAAGAAGAATGTTTTTGTTCTTTGCTTTTTTGGAGCAATGAAGATTTTATTGATCTTTGTGTAATGCATAATTCATAGTAGATCAGGAAGTGTTTGCTTTTGAATGAAAACCTTGTATTGCTAAAACCATTCCTTTATCGCACATTTTATTAGCTTTTATGTCTGCTTTATTAACCAATAGAATGGCCAGAGGTCTGCAGCTATGGGGTTGTGTCCCCCTAGTAGGCCCTGAAGGTCCTGCAGGACAATCACTGCCTTGATATTAACTTAATATCACCCAATTAATTTAGACATAGTAAACCTGTAAATCTGCAATATTGATTTAACTAGGTAAAAAAACATTTACGTTTTACCTTTACACAGCTTCCAAATATTTTTTTTAAATTTCATTTCCTGTATATTACACTGCAATAAATATATTTTATAAAAGGTTTCTTACACCCCCTGGCCTTGAAACATAAAATATTTATTAAACCTTTGGACCACCTTCCCTGAAGAATAGATCCCCACAGCATAATTCTGCCACCACCATGTCGCATATTCAGGTTGTTTTCTGACATGTATAGGATTTTGCTTACAGATTAAAATGTCAGTTATGACATCTGACCAGAAGAAATGACCGCATACATTTAGCTGTATGGGAGCACAGGGAGATAAATACATTTGTACAAGGATTTGCAAACTGTGTATTATTCTTCCTTGAATTGTTCAATTTTATGGTGCTCTTTTTGGTCTGTATCATTGAATCCTAATAAAATACGTATGAAAATATGTATGGTTGATTTGTGACAAGACTATGATAATTGTTAGGATTAGCTCTATACATTTAGGTATTTATAAGGCATATTTCTGACCGCTAGATTTGCTTATTTACTGGTAGAAAAAAAAATAACGTTTCTAAAAGTCTTAATATTAATGTCTTTAGCATAACATAGATTCTGTATTACCATACATTTTGTCCCAAGACTGTTTAAAAATAAAAAATGCAACCACAATGGTTAAACATTGGCAAAAATATTTAAAAGTCTTCAAATGATTTCTATGTTATATATTGGTTTTGTTACAGCATGGAGAGGCCCCCGTGTTTACAATAGTTTTCAGTAGAAATTGACCTGGCTAAGCTTCAAATAACTTTAGTGGAGATCTTATTAAGAATAGAAGGCTCATTGTTCAGCTGTTAATCACTCTGCCTCCAGTATAATCTTTGTTTCTTCTGTTTAGTAACCAAACATGTGGGATTGACTGGAGCTGGAGCCATAGTGTTTATAATAGTCAGGTGTATGCTCTTTGATTTGTACCTGAGCTCTGTCATTTCTTTCCTTAATGTTTACAGAAAATATATCATCTCCTGTAAGCTAACCCAAGTGCCTCTGTCTGTGCCCTGGGATCCAAGCAACCAGGTATTTCAGAAAAGCAATTAAAGCCTACCAGATATTGTGCTCAAGCTCCTGGGTTCTCTCAGCATTTTGGTTTCTTAGATATACCTGAGCTACAACAACGTATCAGCTCTGAAACTAATGGATACCAGAACCAACTGGGTCTTAACGTCAGAAAAGAACAAGGTCAGTGTGTTTTACTACTCAGATCTGATTTTTACGAGGGCCACGCATCAAATAGATGTCTTTTAACATTTTATTCTGTTGCTCTCTCTTGTCGAAGACACTGTGAAAACTACAAAAATATAGAATATAAAACATTTAAATCACACATTCACCAAAATAAATGTCTCTGATTACACAGATTTAAAAGGAAATTGGTCAAACTAGATGAGCAGGAAAAACAGGAGATGGATCCTACATGCTAAATTATTAATGTAAAACACTCGAAAAATATCAACATGAGTTCATGTGTGCATCTTTCAGACCAGAACAGAATAGTATTTTCCTCTTGAGTGGATCAGTAACATTCCTGCAACGTTGGCATGTGTCTCTGCAGCCATATTGCATTCCACACAATTAAATCTAAATTCATTAACTGGACTAGTCATGTGACCTTTATTCACATACAATAAAAAAAAAAACAGTAATTTAACTTTACTAACAACCATTCAAAGAAATATATATAAATTATATAACAATTCTAACCAAAGACTTTTAACTCTTAACCATCCCCTGGACAGTTACTGTACAGTGTGGTTTGTGAAATGATCCAAGATAGATTTGGTTTGCAAGCTTCCATCCTGTAACTTATTATTTAGAGTTACAAAATTAATAGATACAGATTTCTGATTGTAGATAATATTAAATATATAATGCAAATAGAACTAAACCAACCAACATTGTTGCATTCATTAGTGAACCTACTCTACATTTACTGCTAGAATATATCACCTTAGAAATTCCATTTCCTAAAGTGGTAATGTGCATTTCAGTTGTCTTGTTCTCTTGGAAAAAAGAAAGAAACAAACAAAAAACAGCTGTACATCTGACCCAAACTGTCATGTCATATTAAACTCAGTGAGTTAGGATGTTTAGGGACAGGTTTGAGAAGCTGCTCCTAAATCAACACCCTCCAGCTGAATTAAAAGATTGCAGTTACTCATTTGGAGAAACCAAATGCATGTTTGAGACGACTTATAAATTTTTTTTATAGCATATAAAGATTGGGCATTTTACTAAATTGACAAAGCATGGTGGACTTAGGATGAATGATAAGAAGAGTAATAACCAGGCAGAATTATGCCAGTACCTTGCTTATGGCTACAGAGTCTACACAGTGTTCTGCAAGTTGTTTGAACCAGTTTGACCCCATTCTTCATTTAGAAATGAATTCAGTCCACTCTGGGAACAACAGGGCCCAAGTGCATTAAAGCCCCCAAACTAAAAGGACATTCATGCCCCTGGTGGGAATGCACATAAACCTGTCACTGACACTGTACTTGTTGATACGTTAAACAAACTGTTTATACACATTGCTGTGGTATTGATAGGTTAGGCTGTACACACTGGAGGAGAACCACATGCTTTGTGTCAAGGTGGAGATGTATGTCAGCGTCCCGGCAGAGCAGGCGTTCCACCTGTTATCGGACCTGAGGAGGAGAAAAGAGTGGGACCACCATTATGAGTCAGTAACATGCACACGTTTCAAACTGGTCACTATCAAAGGAGAAATCTAGATTAGGTTGTTCCAGTGTCTGTTTTATGACAGTAACCAACAGTGGAGATTTACTGTTTGTGCAAAGCTTTTTAATAACAAAAAACAGCAGCGCTTTGATTAATGGATAGCTTAGAAATTATTGTCAAATACTTAAATACTAGAAAGTGTCAAATATATTGCAAATGTTCATTTTATGTCCATGTTTGAACCACAGGCAGTGTGAGGTGATCAACCATGCAGATGAGGAAGACACCCTTTATCGTATTGTTACGCCCTCTGTCAGCAAAGGGGGCAAAGGGAAAGACTTTATCTTGCTTGCATCTAGGAGGAAGCCATGTGATTCCAGGTAGTGCAAAAGTGACATTACATATACAATATGTCCCCTTTCTCCATCTTACTTTTATGTCACCATGATTTCAAATAGCTTGTTGATTACTTGCTTTGTCAATGTTCTCACGTTTCTTTGTGGAAATAAAGCTAATAACAGGTTGCAACAATCTCTGTGGATTTAAATCCCACAGAAAATATTTTCTCACTATTATCAGATTTTTCCCTTTTCAATTCTTTTTTACACACTTTGATGCTATTTATTAATGTTTCTATGTTAGAGACAGGAAAGAAAACTCACACAAAAGTACATCTGCAGGTGCATTGTTGTTATATTATATTGCATTATATTATTATGATTGTTATTATTATTATTATTGTTGTTGTTATTCATCCTAAAATGTATTGTGAAGTTTTATGTTTGGTGTCAAAATTGCAAATATGTAAATAAGTAAAAAAAATAGATACAAAGTATATACATTACTTATGATTATTGAATAAGTCCTAAACACACATAAATAAATGAATTCATGATTAGGGGGTAGTGGACAACTACTTATAAAAAAATTATAAGCATTTTATTTTTAATAAAATTCTCCCTTTTTTACGTTCAGTCTTTTTTTGCACTGGTATAAAACTATAGAATTGAATTTGGTCTCCTCCAGGGACCCATATCTGATTGCTCTGCGGTCTGTCACCTTGCCTGATCACCCGCCCACAGAGGATTTCTCCAGAGGAGAGGTGCTGTGTGCTGGCTTCACGATCTGGGAGGAGTCCAATGCAGTCACCAAGGTTAGCCCAATGTCTGCAGCACAAACTATTGTTGTAACTCTGCGGCATGGTTAAAGTATGCTTGGCACAAGTGCACCACTGCAGATAACAAAATGCATTTTCACTTTTTATTATTTTAGTTCACCTACTACAACCAGGCCACACCTGGAGTCCTTCCCTACTTCGCCACAGATGTGGCTGGCCTTTCCTCAAGCTTCTACAATACTTTTACTGCCTGCAGTCAGTTCCTGGAGGCCAACAAGGATAGTCTTGATGCTCTGCCACCTTCTTCTCTTTAATTTCAATCCCTCTCCCATAAGCAAAGGACTGAGATTAACAAGAAAGAATTTGCATTATTATTATACAGTTACTTTTTTAACACTGTTTCATAGATGCTGGGCTCTAATGAAATACGCCAGTATGAGATCGTGAAGGACTGTTAGTTTGTACCTTGCAGGTTTTTGTACAAATCAAAAACAGATAAATTATTTATGCCTGTTAAGTTTTTTTTAGAGATTCTTTTTATGATATCTGCAGTTCAGTTTTCTAGATACAGGATGAATATTTTTGCTAAAAATCAATTTGTAGCAGTCCGGGCATGCTTTCAGATGGTTGTTTGACTGTGACTAACTCTGTAAAGATGCTCTAAAATAAGGTGTAATGTATTTTTGTCACATTTGTATTTAAATCTATTTGAACTGTGATAGAAAGTTCACATGTGCCTTTGGTGTCTAGTAGCACTCTGTAATTTAAAACAACACTATCAAGTGAACAAATTATATTGTATTCAGGTGGGCATTTGGGATAAAATGTGATTATTTAAGTAATAAACATGTTAGAGCTGTGGATAATATTCTGTGAAGATTCCTCATTTTCAGGGCCACTTGGCATGACTTTGCCAAACCATTTTTAAGAAGGCTTTTGATAAAATTACTGCATCAAACGAACATGAATCAGCGTCTGATGTTTAAATCTGAGCCTTTATTCTCTCACCCTGAGAGTTCAGTTTAAACAGGTTATTGGCCTGATTTCAGCTGCTGTTTTATTTATTATTGCAAATATACACTTTGATAGAAAATGGGTGTCATCCTCAGTGTAGCATGGATACGCTCAAATCAATTTCTTCCAGTGATTCCAGGAACTGAGTCTGTCCAGTTCTAGCAAATAATTTGCCTTTAAGCTTCATATTAAAGCTTGGAATATTTCTCAATCAATGTTTTTACTCAGAGAAGCCTTAATTAAACCCAGAGGACGATGGGTGATATTTTGCTCTGGGAGTCAAAAAAATGTTATGATGGACCTTATTACAATCTATAAATGAATGTTAAAAAAAGCATTTTTTTAAATGAAACTTTAAAAAAGTGCATATAAGAAAACATTATTTAATTATCTTCACTCACTAACATAATAACAGCATACATTTATTACATTATATAGTAAATGTATAAGTAACACATTTTTTTTCTCATAGTTTTCCTAATTTATTTTCTGTCTCCTAATATTGTTTAGTGCAGTTAGAGAGATTCAATGTACAACAAGGTAAAACGATGTTTATTCCTAATCAATACAGCTAAAAGTGCAAATCAGTTTATGAATGCTGCGCCCAGAGAGCAAAGTGGATTCACTCATTATTGTTTGTTTGCTGTTGGGGGGGTGGAGGGAGCTAATTTGTTGAAATTAGGGATGAAGCCTACTTTGTGTCTGTAAATTGGGAGCCAGGGAAACCAGCCTAACAACATTAAAACTAAAGGCAGTGGTCATAATTGCAGCCAACGCTGAGGGCAGAACTATAAACTGGTAATTTGATTATTGTTTGATGATTCTGCCCTTTTTTTCAGTCTCATAAAAAATTATATTCCCTACAAAGAGAGTTTCTTTTAGATGCGTTCAGCTGCTTCAGCACGTCCCAGCAAATGCATCATTTCTTTATACTGTAATTTTTAATTAGACAGAGAAAATTATCTGTTTCGTTATTTTTTGTTTAGAACTTAGTCAACTTTTTTTTTGTCATTTTGTATACACAGAGTGTAGACAAAAGGACATTTTATGTTCTACAGCTTTCATAACATTTCCATTTCTTAAAGCGCAGCAGTGATCAAAGGGTTGTTTGGTTTGTGTGGGAGAAAAAAAACATGGTGCAAAAAGCGCATTGATATGAAAGTTCAGAGCATTAAGATGTGTTTGGTGCAAATATATTTTGGTTTGGTGTTATCAGTGTGATGCAGAGTCAGTGACATGATTAAGAGTTTTCTCAACAGTTCAGCTGTCTGATGGCGGGGAGGAAAAAGCTGTTTCGGAATCTGCTGGACCTGCATCGGATGCTTTGAAGCCTTTTCCCAGAGGGAAGGAGGGAGAGCAGTCCATGGTGGGGATGTGAGGGGTCATCGATGAGGTTATGGACTGGGGACACGCAGCGCTGGGATAAAATGTATTTTATGGACATATGAACATTTCATACCCTTTTTTAGGCAAATTATTATTTTTATTTTTATTTTGGGTGATGCATGACTCATTCAGGCTTATGATAAAGAGATAAACCAGACTTGTTGCAACAGAGTTGGAAACCTTTTCTTGAACTTTAAGCAATCTTTTCATATATCCAGAAATTACTTAAGGCCAAAATCAATTATTCTAATGAGAAGTTTAATGAAAGAAAACACGATGGTGGGCCCAATTTTAAAGCAACAAAGTTGCAGCAAAATTTCAGCATTGAGGTGATTGTGTCATGAAGTACTGTAACTTCTACAATGCTGACATTTCTATTCTGTTTTTACTGTTTTTTGTGCAATATTTTAGTGTTTTAGAAACTGAACTTATAGTGTAGCACAAACCTACACTCCAATTAAATAAAATGTATCACACTATGTGAAATGAATTCAATTTAAAGTGTAGAGTAATATATATATGGAGGTTGTTGTGGCCCAGCTTTGATGACACAAAAAAATGTAACCCACAAAGGATGCAGATGCACCATGGGCTACGTAATTTATGCAAGCAAAAAAAAAAATGTTCCAGATAAACTCCTTTAGTTTTCTCAGGTTATTTTCTTCTCAGACAAGCAAACAGAAAAAGACAAACATTTACTCCATGTTTCTCTTGTGCTGTTAAAAAAAAAAACATACCGTACGCCCACCCAGATGCATGCTGGTCCTACCATTGACTGCCTATTTATTAAAATAATTCACTCAAATTAATCATAACTAACCAAAAACAAAGGAACATGACTACAAAAAAACAACATAATGTCATAACCAGTGACGTGCGGTGAGGTTCATAGCTGGTGAGGCACTGACGTCATCAGAATCAGATTTGCAAATAGATGCATAGATTGACAGCAGTTTACAGGTTATGTTTCACTTCTGCATCCTTACACATACAAACTGTAGCTCACAAAACACACATTTCCTTAAAAAACAAAACAAAATAAATGTTATTACTGTCTTACCTTTACTTATAAATGAATAGAAGTCCTCCTTATCTTCCTTCAGTTTTAAAAGTCTCTCTGTCTCAATGGAGATCACTGCCAGGGAAGAAAGCCTTCCTTGATCCGTCCTGTTCCTGCCTTATGTTTTCAGTCTCTTGAGCACCCCCTGCCATGAGGCAAGAGAACTGCCTGCCTCACCTCGAACTTGTTCTCTGCCGTTTATAATCGCTCATTACACGAAACACGTTACACAAACACAGTTGGTGACAAAAAGCTCTGTACATTATATACATAAGCCAAATTATTAGAAATAAGTTCACATATTACATTTGTTTAAACCATTTTATTGACGCCGTACAGCAACATGCTCTCTCCGCTTTGCAGCCAGCGCAGAGCCAGGGGTTGCGCAATCCAAGGTGAGGCAGAGCTCGCTGCTGCCTCACCGGCATCGCTTCCAAGCATTTGAATGGGAAAATAAGAAAATTCAGCGATTTTGAACAAATAAAAATCGAAATTGGTGAAGCTACATGAAAAATGAATATTTTTTAGTACAAACCACCGGATGAATATAACAATTTAAATTACTTTATGATTATATATTTTCTTTCTTTCCATGATGGCTGGTGAGGCACTGCCTCACCTGCCTCCCCTGACCGCACGTCACTGGTCATAACAGATATCAAACAATAAAGTAAAATAAACTTAGCTGGATTATCCACAAAAACAAAAAACTTTGTTAATTATTAACAAAAAATAATTGGCTCCTACAGAGGTGTAATGCTATATTTTTATTTTGTTTGTGGGGTGGTACGTAACATGGTTGGCTACTTTCTAGACTTAATGGAAAGACTGCTATTTTTGCAAAATGCAGAGGTGTCAAGTAACAAAGTACAAATACTTTGTTGCTGTTCTTAAGTACACTTTTTAGGTATCTATACTTTACTCCATTACTTTTTTTCTCCCTAATTCTGACTTCTACTTATTACATTTTTCACACAAGTATCTGTACTTTCTATTCCTTACATTTTTAAAACAAATGTTACTCGTTACTCTTGGCTTTGGCTTAACGTTTATTAATATTTATTTCACGTCATGTGCGCCATCCAATGCAGATTATTGGCACCATCCACATCTAGTGAAAACTAGTGTAATTGGATGAGTCAAATAATGCAAACACTCATTGGTTAGCTAAAGGAAATCATCAGAAGCAAGCAGGTTTTTTCAAACTGCAAACGCGAATTGTCTATGCCATGCTACAACGTTGGATTCAGAAAAAGATGTCGAAACGTCTGAAAGGTCAGACACAGGAAAGAGAATATCAGGAGATGGAGACAGAAACCAACAAGACCTCCCTCATCCTTGGCCCTATCTCAAAGACTTTTCAAAAAGGCCGAAAAATTGAGCTTTCCATTCATGGGCAGTTCTAGACAGGGGCCAGTGCTCCCGTAGATCATGCCCTGCCCCCTGTTATGTCCCCTGTAATGAAGACATACCGGTAATACTCAAAGAACTAATGATAATATGCGCTGGAATAGACATGGTTACTGCAAGGTACTTTGGATTTATTTAATTTTTTTCTTTTCAAATTGTGTTTTACTAATTATTAAAAAATAATAAGGTGAAAGCTTCAGTGAGATAGGATCCCAGTTTTCATCTGATAAATGTTTTTCCAAAACAAATTAAGAAAAAATACTCTGAATGCTGACTTTATCAGTTTTTCTCGAGTTCTAATTCTGATTTTATGGAAAAAGGTTATTTTAATTTAAATTAAGTGAAAAATATGCAACATTCCTAAATTCTGAGTGTATAATGACCTAATAAGACATATAATTTTAATTAAACCCAATTGAATAGAAATTTCACTTCATGCAGCTATCTTAATATATTTGAATCCCTTGCCCTGTTTTTATTTTATGCTTTTCTGTTCCCACACGAAAACAAGCTGGCCCCCCCTGGTCCCCTGGTACTTTTTGGTCTAGAACCGCCACTGTTTCAATTCATATAGTGGCAGCTGGTTGTTTTTTTTTTTTTTTAAAGGTTACTTTATACTTTTATACTTAGTAGTTTTTGGAGCACATACTTTTTAACTTTTACTCGAGTAAAGAGGTCAAGTTGATACTTCAACTTTAACCAGAGTGTTTTTAAACTGCAGTATCTATAATTACTTATGCTTAAGTAATAAATGTGTGTACTTTTGACACCACTTGCAATAATCACAAAGAGCTTTTATTGTTTTAGGCGCAAGGAGGCAGGATGACAATGCGCAGGCGCATCAAAAAGGATCCCAAATCACGTGACCAAACCCGGAAATAGAGTAGTATGATTGAAATAAAGCTGTAGTAAAAACGAAAAGCAACGTATTCCTATCTTTACAGTTTGTTTTTTATTTTATTTTAAGAGAGTCATTATGAGTCGGGATTTCGACAGGA